GCCTCCAGGGCCTCGCCGCGGTGGGCGGCGTCGTCGGCCAGGGCTTCCCGCCGGCCTTGGTGGGCATGGTGCCGTACCTGGCCTGCCTGTGCTGCCCCTGGGGGCAGCTCGATCCCTTCCAGCGGGCCTTCGGGGAGTGGCGCGACGCCGCGAACCGCGACCTCGCGCGCTACGGCGTCGCGGTCCGCGGCGCGACCTTCGACGGCATCGACGACGGGACGCCCGTGTCGCGCCAGGCCCGGGGCGTGGAGTCCCAGTGCGGGACCGAGGGCTGCCAGCACTGGACGTCCGCGCTCGTGTTCTCGCTCTCGCCCTCCGCGGCCGAGCGCCTCGCGGTCGCCCTCCAGCGGCCGGCGGTGTCCGCGGACGTCTACGGCTACCCCGAGGTCTACACACCCCGGGACTGCGGCGCCCGCGAGTGCTGCGTCGACGTCGACAGGACCCTGCAAGGTCATCGCGCGGCGTCGACGCGCGCGGGGTCGACGAGGACCGCCTCCGCCGCGCCCCGGCGCACGCGGAGACGCAGCGCGGCGAACGCGTCCTCGATGGCGTGGTTCACGGCGCGCTTCTTCGACGCCTCGACGGCGTCCGGTCTGGCGCCCGTGCCGACGCCGACGCCGCGGCCCCGGAGCTCGAAGCCGCGCGGCGCGAGCGCGAACGTCAGCGCGACGACGGCGACGCTCTCGCTGCCGCCGCCGTCGGCGTCGCGCCGCTCGAGCGACACGATGCGGTGCGACCAGCCCGCGGCGCCGAGCAGGCCGTTCGCGAGGTCGACGCAGTCGTCGCGGCCGAGCTTGCGCGCGTCGCCCGTGCCCGTGCCGCGGCTCGTCGCGAGGGGCCGGCCCCGGAACGACGCGCAGTCGAGGCCCCGGCACGCGCGCCTCGCGGCGCTCTCCTGGTAGTAGTGGAGGAAGTGGAGGCCGTCGAGCGCGGAGCGCTTGAGGCGGGACCGCTGGAAGGCGCCGTAGCGGCCGCACATCTTCGCGAAGGCGTCGTAGTCGTCGACGGGGCCCGCGTCGACGCGCACGACGTGCCGCTCCGGCGACTGGAAGGCGACGACCTCGGCCTCGACGACCATCGCTCGACGGTGGTACGTTCGTAGTACGCGCTGCTCAAGCACAAACCATCGTGAGAGAGAGTTCTGGCTGAGCCAATCTTGCCCTTCACGGTGCAGCGTGGATGCCGAAGCCCAAATCGAGAAGCCCGCGGCCGCCGCGAATCGGGCTGCCGACCACCGAGCCTCTCTTTACTGTTCCGGGGGCGCCATGTCGAACATCGTGCGGCGCCTGAGCAAGTCCCTCCCGGCCCCGCCGCCGCTGCTCTCCCGCGCGAAGAGCAAGCGGCCCGAGTCCGTGGAGCACCCCGGCGCCCGCGACTCCGAGGCGCATTGCGAGGCCGCCGCGGCCCCGGCCCCGGCGAGCGCGCCGGAGCTCTTCGAGCGGAGCGCGCCGCCCGCGCCGCACCGCCAGAGCACGCGCGAGGTCGCGCCGGGCCTCGTGGCGCCCTGGCTCGACATCGCGGACGACGACGCGCGCGCGGAGACGTTCGCGATCGTCGGCGGCATCCAGGACGTGCTCGGCGCGGGGCTCAAGGGCGTCGTGAAACACCTCGACGAGCTCGAGCGGGACCCGGCGTCCGGCGCGCACCACTGCCTCGCGCAGCTCAGCGACCGCCTGCCCGCGCGCCTCGTCTACGCCTTCGAGCGCGTCGCCGCGGGCGACGGCGCGCGCGCGGCGCGCGGCGCGCTGACCGCGCTGCCCGTCCTCGTCGACGCGACCGCCGGCGCGGAGTGCGGCTTCGGCGCGTGGCTCCGCGGGGCCCTGGGCGAGGGCGTCGAGCTCGGGGAGCAGCGAGTCCTGGACGTCGTCCGGGGCTTCGTCGAGTGCGTCGCCGCGGAGCTGCTCGTGCTGGCGACGTCCTACGCGCCGCTCGCCGACGGGGATTTGGCCGCGAAGCTCGCGGACCTCGCTTTGGACGCGCTGGGGCCCGACCGCGCGGGCGGCGAGCGGGGCGACGCGCTCGCGTCGCCCGTGGCGTCCGCGTGCGTCGCGCTCGCGCGGCGCCAGTGGGCGGCCGTGTTGGGGAACCTGACGCCGGACCACGGCGGCGCCGTCTTCTCCAAGTACCTCGCGCGGAGCGCGGCCCTCGGGGCGACGCACCTGCCCGGGCCCTGGCTGCGGGCGCTCGGCGTCGCGCGGTGCGACCTCGCGTGCGCCGCGTCGCGCGGACGCGCTCCGCGGCCTCCTGGCCGACGTCGCGCTCCCGGCGCTCGAGGTCGCCTTTTGCGGCGACTGCGACGAGGCGCGGGCCGTGGCGCTCGCCCACTTCGCCGAGCGCCTCGTGGCCTGCGCGGACTGGGAGCCGTTCCGCTCCGGCGCGGTGGCAGCGGACCTCGCGGACCTCGACGGTACGCTCGAGGCCCTCTTCCGGAAGCTCGACGACGACTGGTACGTGCGCAAGCCGTCCAAGGCGGCCAGGGTCGGGGAGAGGCTCGGCGCCGCCGCGCTGCGTTTGATGGTCGCGACGGTCGCGCGCATGCCGCGGGACTTGTACGGCGCGCACCTCGAGCTCTTCGTCTCCAAGCGGCTCCAGAAGCCCGCGATGGACAAGCGCGACGCGCCGCGCGCGCTCCGGGCGCTGGCTTTGTTTTTACGGGGGCCGCGCTACCGCCGGCCGGAGCTCTACGACGAGGCGCCCGCGTACCTGCCGCGGCCCGCGCTGCCGTCGGAGGCGGCCGCGGCGGCCGCGCCCTGGGCCGCGGCGCCGCGGACGCGCGGCGGCCGAAGAACCGAGGCCCACGCCTTCGCGTGCTGCATGCCCGCCTTCGACGAGTCGCCCATGCTCTTCCGGCCCGAGCTGCTGCTCTGGATCCGCGAGAAGTCGCTCGGCGCGGGCAACGCGCACTACAAGTGCGTCGACCTCGCGCCGAACGCGCGTTTGGTCGCGGACGTCGTGCTCGCCATGCTCGCGAATTCCATGACGACGTCCTTCGTGCGGTCCCTGCTCGACGTGCGGGACGGCGGCGGGTCGAAGAAGCTCGGCGACCGGGAGAAGCTCGAGCGCTTCGTCGTGGGCCTGCGCGTCGTCGCGACGATCCTGGACGACGACTCGGGCTTCGCGGTCCACGCGGTGACGACGCGCGTCAACGCGGCTCTCGCGGGCGGCATGGGCCAGGTCCAGCACGACGTCCGGGGCTTCTTCCTCGCGTCCGCGCCGGAGATGCTCTCGAAGGCGCTGGACCAGCTCATGGACAAGGAGGACGCCTTCTGCTTCGACGCCGGCGGCGCGCCCAGGTCCGTGCTCGACGCGGCGCCGGACGACGCCGACGGCGAAGGCTGCGACGCGCGCGCCGTCGACGGCGGCAAAACGACCGAGACGAAGCTCCTGCACGTGCAGGTCGCGCAGGAGACGGCGCGGTGCGCCGTCTTCGCGCCCTGGAAAACTTTAGGACGTTCCCTCCTCAACGCGGGGCTGCTCCACCACTCGTCCGTCGCGCTCCGGCGGTCGCTCCGCGTCGCGCTGCAGCGGTCGCTGCTCAAGCGGCCGCGCGAGCGGCCCGCGATCGTCGTCGACGTGCTCTCGCACTGCGGCTCCTGCCTCGCCAAGGGCCTCGGCAGCCGCGGGAACGCGCTGCGGTGCGTCGCCGAGCTTTTAGACGTCTGGCGCCGGGCCGTGAAATTCGGCGCGGACGGCCGGAGCCGGCGCGCGGCCGCCGACGACAGCGACCTGGTCCTCGAGGCCGCGCCGGGGGGGTCGTCGCCGTCGCGCGCGCTGGGCTGGACGGCGCGGGCCGAGGCGACGGCCCTGGCGTTCCTCGCGGACGAGGACGCGGCGACGCGCGACGTCGCGCTCGACGTGCTCGACGGCGTCCACGAGATCCGCGACGCGCAGCTGCGCCTCGTGGAGATGGTGGGCCTCGTCGACGGCGAGGGCGGGACCGACCTCGCGCGGCGCCGGGCGGCGTCGGCGTCGTTGGGCGCCCACGTCACCGTGCGGGCCATGCTGGAAAAAAAAGAGGGCGACGTCGCGCAGCGCGCGATCCGCGCGTTCGTCGCGGACGCGGGCGGCGCCGCGGGGTCGCTGGCGACGGCGGCGCCGACGCTGCGCAAGGTGTCGCGCATGGGGGCGGCATTGTGGGGGGCGGCCGTGCCGCTGCTGGCGGCGGAGCTCGTCGATCTGGACCAGCCGGCGACGGCCGCGCACGCGCAGCGATTGCTCTACGGCGCGCTACGGGCGCCGAGCGCCTTCAAGCGGCAGCCGAGCCGCTTCCTCACGCAGGTGGCGCTGCTGCTGGCGCTCCAGGTCGGCGAGACGACGCCGGAGCTCGAGGACTTCCTCGCGCGGGACGCGTGGAGCCTCTTGGACGGCGTCGGCGAGGAGGACCCGACGCTCGCGGCGCTCGCCAAGTGCTGCCGGTCGGCGTCGGCGTCGGCCTGCGGGCCCCTGGCGAAGTCGTTGCTCACGTGGCTCGGCGCGGGCGGCGACGCCAAGGGCCGCAAGCGGGCCTGCGCGTACAGCCTGCTCCGCGCGGCGTCGGAAAGTCCCAGATTCCGCGAGGCCGCGCGCGACCGGAACCTCCTGGGCCTCCTCGCGGGCGCCGTCGCGTCGGCGGCGTTCTGCGACGAGGGCGCGACGTCGTCGGCGGCCCTGCTGGACCGGCTCCACCTGCTGCACAACGTCGCGGGCGCGGTCCCGCGTGGAAATCGACCGCCGGTTTGGGGGGTCCCCACCAAACTTCAGAACTCTCTATCTCGGTGAAATCGAAGTCGACTCGGCTGATTTTTGGACGAATCGATTGCTCTCGTCGAGTTCTCGAAGCATAGCCGAAGAGCCTGCGTCACAACGGTCGCATACACGAACATTGAAGTCGGGTTGAAGATGTGATGTCCACGCAGGCGCGCTCTTCGAGGCGCACACGGCGGCGTCGGCCGAGGAGACCGCCGCGGGCGGCGGTCTGGTGAAGCGCGTGAGCCAGGTCGGGAAGAGTTTCGGCGCGTTGCCCCGCTGGGCCGCGCCGGAGTTGTTGCGGCTCTACGCCTGGCTCCGCCAGACCCACGTCTGGCCGCGGCCGGGCGGCTCGCTGGCGGAGAAATGGGGCGTGCCGCCCGCGAAGCCGCCGCTCGCGCGGAGCCACGACGGCACGCCCTGCACGACGGCCAAGGGCGTGCCCGACGCCGACGGCGCGGCGCTCGTGCTCGCGGGGCGCACGTCCGCGAAGCTCCTGGCCATGGGCGCGTTCTTGTCGCACGCGACGGTCGCGGCGCTGCTGGACGAGGCCGCGCCGCCCGTGGACCTGTCCTGGTTCCTGACGGCGGAGGCCTTGGGCGGCGCGGCGGCGCGGTGCCTGCCCTGGCTGCTGGCCCACCACACGGAGGTGCTGTCGCCCGCGTTCCTGCGGCGGGCCGTGTCCGCGCCGCGCGAGAGCGCGGTGCCCTTCTTCCACGCGGTCGCGGACCAGCTGCTGCCCGCGGCGGCGCTCCCGGACGCGCCGACGGCGGGCACGACGCGCGACTCGACGGCCTACTACGCGGCCGTGCGGGCCTACGGCCGGGATGCGGACCTGGCGAAGCTCGACGTGAGGAAGCCGAGCTCGCCGCCGCCGGCCGTCGCCGTCGCGGCGGCCTTCGGCGACGACCGCTTCGTCGCGGGCCGGCCGGAGCGGCTCGGCGCGCCGGCGGTGCTCGTGCTGGCGCTCAAGGCCGTGCGCGACGCCGACGTCGCCGTGCGCGTCCGCGCGTTTTTGCTCGTGCGGACCGCGACGCTCCACCTCGCCGGCGACGGCGGCGGCGAGCTCACGGCCGACTTCGTGGAGCTCATGGCCCACTACTGGGTCCACTTCAGCGCGGACTGCGCGTCGCGGCGCGACGCCGAGGCCGACGAGATCCTCGAGTGCGTCGCCGCGGTGCTCGCCGCGTCGTCCGGCGGCGGCGACGACAAACAGGCGCCGTCCGCGCTCGACGTGCTCCAGGGCCGCGGCGACCGCATCTTCGACTGCCTCGAGTGCATCTTCGACGGCCAGCACGGGAACCGGCCCGAGTGGGGCGGCGAGAACGTGACGGCGAAGATTTTAGGCGCGCTCTGCGCGCGCGTGACGCTCGTCGACGGCGACGGCGCGACGAGTGGCCGCGGCGACCGCATCATCGAGTGGCTCGTCGCCTTCGCCGCGAGGCACCCGGGCATCTCCGCGGGCGAGGCCATCTGGAGCCGCCTCTGCCTCGACGCGCGGAACGTGCCTCCCGTCGTCCGCTACCTCGCGGCCGCGGCCGCGGAGCACGCGGTCGCGGGGCGCAAACAGGCGCTCGCGGCCTGCCAGACGGCGGCGCTGGCGACCTACGGCGCGTCGCCGGACGACGTCGTGGCGATCCTGGTGGAGGCGCTGTCGTTCCCGGCGCACGACGCGGCCGTCCGTGCCGAATGCAACCGCCGGTTTGGGTGGTCCCGACCAAACTTGAGACTTCTCTCGCTCGGTCACATCGACGTCGATTCGGCTGATTTTTGGACGAATCGATGGCTCTCGTCGAGTTCTCGAAGCAAAGCCGAAAAGGCTGCGTCGAAACTGTCGCGTATGCTCACATTGAAGTCGAGTTGAAGATTTGATGTGCACGCAGGCGGCCGTCGACGCGGAGCTCGCGCGCGGCGGCGACGGGGAGGCGCCGCTCGGCGCGTCCGAGGGCGCCGTCGCGCTGCTCTGCGCGCTCGGGGGCGCGGACCCGGCGCCGCTCATTCCCCACCTCCACGCCGTGCTCCACTTCTGCGTCCTCCACTTCCCGTCGCCGACGCGCTTCGGCGGCGGCGCGCACTCGGTCGCCGAGGCCTTTCGGCTGGCGGGCGCCGTGCCGAACCTGCTCCACACGCTCGTCCTCAACCTGCAGCCGCGCTTTTTAGCGCTGGGCGCGGACCCGGCGCCCGTGAACGCGCTGCTGGCGCTGCTGCGCTGCGGCGTCGACGTGGACCACCTCGCGCTCGACTGGAGCGGGCCCATCGCGGACCTGGGGCAGCCGCCGCAAAAATTCGGCGACCTCGCGGCCGCGTCCTTCCGGGAGGGCGACTCGCTGGAGACGGCGGCGGCGGCGGGCGCGGCGCACCCGGCGGCGCTCGCGCGCGCGCTCGCGGCCGTCGTCGGCGGCGTCGACGGCGGCTGCGCCGCGCGGTGGGCCGATACCGCGCTCAGCTGGGCCGCGCGGTCCCGCGACTTCCCGACGCGGCTCAAGGCCCTGGTCGTCTACCTGGCTTTAGGCGCGCCGGACGCGCCGCGGCCGCTCCCGGATCTGTTGGTGGCGCTGGGCGACGCGCACGCGCGCGCGTTTTCCACCGGCTCGGAGGCGCGGTCGACGAAGGAGTACCAGGCCGCGGCGCTCTGCTGCGCCCTCCTGCGGGCCGTCGGCGCCCAGGCCGTCGCCGCCGTCGACGCCGGCGACGCCCATTTGGCCGCCGCGGCCTTCTGGGCGTCGGACGCGCTGCTGCGGACGTCCGCGGCCGGCGACGTCCGCTGCAAGGTCTACCGTTTTGGGGTGGCGCTCCACGCCATGTACGCGGCGGCGATCGCGGCGGGCGACGACGGACCGGCGGCGGCGGCGAGCCTGCGGGCCTTCTGGCGCGAGGACGACGCGCCGGGCCGCGAGCACGCGGTCGTCGACTCGGTCGCGCGGTTGGCGAGGGGCCTGCTGAGCGACGACGCGCGCGCGGCGCGCGACGCGCGCGCGGCCGTGGCGCCGACGCTCGCCGTGGCGCGGCTCGCGCCGGCGGGCGAGGCCGCGCGCGCCCTCGCGACGGTGCTCGGCGCCCTGGGGCCCTGGCTCGTCGCGCGGAGCGGCGCGCTCGAGGCCGCGGAGTTGGCCGCGGAGCTCGCCGACTCGGCGGACGCGTTAGGTCAAACGCCCGCGGCGGCGGCGCTCCGGGACCACCTCGTCGCCGCGGCGCCGCCGGACGTCGCCGCGTTTTTAGGCGGCGCGGGGGCCTGGCTCCGCGGCGTCGCCGGCGAGGATCCCGAGGCCGCGCTGCGGTTGGACGCGACGCTCGCGCGCGCCGCGTCCTGCGGCGACGGCGACGTGCGGCGCGCGGCCTTCCGGCTCGGCGCCGCGGTGCTCGGCGACGCCGGCGACGCGCCGGCGCTGCCGCGGCTGGCCCAGGCCGCGTCCGAGCGCGTCTTCGAGGCCCGGGGCGGCGGGTCGTCGTCCGACGAGCGGGCCGTCGCCGCGGCGCTGCTCGGCGCGGCGCTGCGGTCGTCGGGCGTCGCGGCGCTGCTCGGCGAGGACCAGCCGCCGCCGCTCGTGGGGGAGCCCGACGACGTCGTCGCCGCGCGGCTCGGCGCCATCGGCCAAGCGGCGGCGGCCGGCGCGGACCGCGCGACGACGTTCGTTCCGAAGAGCGGCACGGCCAAGGCGCCGCCGCCGCCGGCCCTGAAGCAGGCCGCGCCGCCGCCGCCGCCGGCCAAGGGGCCGCCGGGGCCGCCGCCGCCCAAGGGGGGCTCGCCGGAGAAGCCCGCGCCGCCGCCGCCGCGCGCCGCCGCGCCGGCGGCCGCCGCGCGGCTCCGCGACGACGACCGCTACCTCGACTACGTGCCCTTCGTCAACCTCCTCAAGCGCGGCGTGCCCCTCGGCGCGGTCCGCCTCCGCTGCGCGGCCGAGGGCCTCAACATCGCGGTGCTCGAGCTCGCAGGACAAGAGAGCGAAATTCCCAACTTCAAAGGCTCATATCTCGGCCATTTTCCACTCGTTTCGGCTGATCTTTGGACGAGCGATCATCTCTCGGAACGGTCTCGAAGCGTGGATGCTTTTTCCGGAACGCGCGCGCGCGGAACACTCACGTTGAAGCGACGTTGAATCACCCTTGTCCTGCCCAGGTCCTCGACCTCGACGCGGACGCGCCGCCGCCCGAGGGCTGCTTCGAGTCGAAGAAGAAGCCGCCGCCGCCGCCGCCCCGGAAGCCCGCGCCGCCGCCGGCCAAGGCCGGCTCGCCGCCGAAGCCGCCGCCGCCGCTCGCCGAGAAGCCGCCGCAAAAGCCGCCGCCGCCCATGCCCGACAAGGCCAAGCCGCCGCCGCCCGACAAGGCCAAGCCGCCGCCGCCCATGCCCGACAAGGCCGCGAAGCCGCCGCCGCCCATGCCCGGCTTCCAGCCCAAGATGCCGCCGCCGCCCATCAACAAGCGGTCGAGCTCCTGAATCTCCCCGGTCCCCCGTTCCACTCCGATATAAACTCCCCGCTGTTCGCCTCGCATGGGGACGGCGTGTTGGTGATTCAGTGTTGGTGTTTGTAGATTCCAGGACTACGAGGTCGGCTACAGTCAGCCTCGAAGTCCTCGAGGCTGAGTCGAGCCTCAGCCCGCTCAAGGAGGTGTCAGGCGTCTTCGTTTCATGAAGTGGTTAAAATCGGCTCGCTGAAAGACCACGGCGCGAAAGTGGACGAGGCGGTCCTCGCTCAGCGCGCAGCGACCGGGCTGGACTTATAGCGTCGTCGAGATTTATGATTCCCCGAGACGTTTGTCTTGCTGTCGAGAGTGGAGACAATGAAATCACCGAGGCCTGGAGCTTGTTGAGGCTTTGGCTCGATCGGGGCCCGGAGCGTGATCTAAACGAGCTCGTCAAGGTAGGAGATGATGACATGGATGAACTCGGTTCACTGCTCCACTTGTCCCTCTTTCCCATGGGCCGTCCAGACAGAACGCATCTTCTTGAGCTATTGTTAGACCATGGCGCGGATGTGAGCGCGGTCACTTTAACGTTTCGCGTAACGCCCCTCCACTTGTGCAAGCATCCGAACGAGGCGGCTCTACTTCTCGATCGTGGCGCCGATATCGAGGCTCTGGCCGTGCAAGGAACGAGCCCGATCCATTTTGCTGTCTCTCATTTTCCGGTCTTGCATTTCCTTGTGCGTCGCGGGGCCAACGTATTTTCGAAAAATGTCGCTGGTCGGGACGCCGAAACCGAAGCACGCGCACAATTGGCAGATACAAGGCCGAATTTCATGCAATGCTGGACTGACAACCAGAAATCGGCGGATTTCCTCGCGGCTGTGAAACGGGCGGGTGGCTGGAAACAGTATTGGCGAGCCCCGCGCATCGAGCTCGTGCGTCTCCGGTCGCTCTGCGATCGCGGCCGCGCGGCGCCGCCCTCCACCGCCTCGTCCGCGAAGCTTGGAACGCTGCAGGCGGCGCTCAGCTTGGCTGAAGCGTGTCACGCGCTCACCTCGGCGGAGATGAAAATCCTCGAGCGCCTCTTTGGCTCCTCGGCG